TGTTTGTTTTTGGCTCCTTGCAGTGCCAGGCGGGCGGGGTCCCAGAGGGAGAAATGGCACAAAAACAGATTTCATTTCAAGCTTCAGCATGAATCGTAGGAGCTGGACGCTTCAGTCTGAGCACAGAAGCAACTGCAGCCATTAAATGTGTTTCCAGGCTGGTTACACACACGAGGAACTGTGATTGGCTGTATTACAACAAAAGCACATCTAACAGTCAATAAGACTGTAAAGGGTCAGTTCACACACACAGTTTCTCTCCGTCGTATATCGACTATTATTTCCATGTTAACACACTTGCTTTCACGTCCTTCCTGTCGACTCCACTTTCACCACGACCTCACTTCCTGCCGGGCCTGTGAAACGGGATCCAGCTGTTCCTCCAGGCGTGCACGAGGAACAGGAGGAAAATAAGGAAAGATGAGGAACAGAGAGCAATGCAAACGTTAGGCTGTGTGGAAGTATGGAGAGCGAAGGCTGGCGGTGGGAGGTGAAGCAGTGGGTGGTTTCTATTTATTCCTCTGGGAGCAGAAAAATTCCCAGAGCCGAGCTGATGAAAGTGAAGGAATGGAAACAAAGACAGAGGCGGGAAAGTCCGGACGTTAAACTACAAATGCTTTGCAGTTTGCTGAATTAAAACGCTGGATATCAGCGTTGTGGGAAATATGGGATTTAATCCAAATGAATGGAAAATTTATGTGTAATTAAAATATATTACTGGGACAAATGTGGCACTGATGTAAAGGAGCAAACCCACGGCTCCCACTCACATGTTGGCTGTTGCTGTAGAAAGTATGTTTTAGTTTAGCTTATGGAGTGTGTGTCGGGGTGTGTGTCCTGGGAACCAGGAGTTTGGTGGTGTTTGTGGACACTGCAGCTTTTTGGGATATTCCTGGAAAGTCTGCTCCACGTTTTTCCACATAGAAATTCCTCAAACTGTTAGGCAAGTTTATTTGTATAGCACAATTCAACAACAAGGTGATTCAAAGTGCTTTACAGAGACATTGTAAAAATAAATCAAATAAAAAAATAAAATAAAATAAAAAAAATAAAAAATAAAAAAAAATAAAAATAACAAAAAAATAACAAAAAAA